GTTCTTTCTGTTCCTGAACCTGCTTCTGGGTCCATGCATGTTCCGAACAAAGTTGACTTTGATCTGAAGGAAAGAATTCCGATCCGGTTCAACTTAAATCAGCGTGCGTCTCACGAACCTTCATTCACGATTAAAAATTGATGGTCGCCGATCGCGTGAGACAAACAAAAAGGAGATATATGAAAATGCGACCGAGCTGGCGAGCTCCGTCAAACAAGTAAACAAGGTTAATTATTACCACCGAGATGGAGAGATATACGCGTTGCCTGCGTTTTGTAATCAGAAGACACGCACGCACATGTGGGTGCTGGCCGGGTGCACAACTGATAGTCTGACATGCATCAGAGCTGCATTGAAACTAGCATTATGCATCATCGAACATCGGCATCAGGGGATTAGTTAATAATCTATAGCTGATTTGGTCATCACGTCTGATCTTAATCCGTCCATCATCACGAAAGGAAAACAAAATTGCCAAGTTAATTGTGTCCTCTTCGTTCCTGAAGTACGTACTAGCTAGTAGCTCCATCCGCCGCGGTCATAGAAAATGGTTCGGGACAGATTCTTAGAACAAGACCAAATTTTTTTTTGTTTCAACGGCTAGCACACACTACTGCATAGCGCTCTACCACTACTTCGCATTGCGAGATAGCGGCGCTTTTATTTATTTCCATCCACGTCCCCGAGATGGGTCTCGAGATGGATGCAATTGCAATAACTACATTCGTCTCTATTAAACATCTACCACCGTAGAGCATCTTCATCAGATATCTATTTAATCTCCTATACCTAAAAGGTACGGTAGTATTTTATGAGACGAAGGAGCTGCATCAAATCTCCTATCTAGTCATCTATCGCATAATTACACATGACACGAGCCTCTTTTCGCCAACACTACTACACAAATGATTTTGCGCGACACCCCCCGGAGGCCACCGAGGCGGGCACCTATTTTTGTCCGTCACGGTAAATACCACGGTTTACCTAGGCGAGCATTTTTTATTTACCACGACGGGCATTTTTGCCCTCCACGGTAAATCGATTTACCGTGGTGGACGACTTAAGATGTCCGCCACGGAAAATACCATATTTTCCACGGCGGACATCTTAAGACGTCCGCCACGGTAAATCGATTTACCGTGGCGGGCATCCTAAAATGTCCGCCACGGTAAATACCCTATTTTCCGCGGCGGACATCTTAAGGCGTCCGCCACGGTAAATCGATTTACCGTGGCGGGCATCCTAAAATGTCCGCCACGGTAAATCGATTCACTGAAACACATCACCCACATCCCTCGCACCATCGTCGCCGCCTCCCCCAATCTCTCTCTGTCAGCTCCCCGCCTCACCCACTCTCTCTGTCAGCTCTCCGCCTCCCCCACTCTCCCTCTGCCTCCCTCTACTCTCCCTCGATGCAGGCAGTGGCCCCCTCCAAGGGCGCGCGAGGCCTCCAGACGGCGGATCGAGGGCTTGGCAGAGGCGCAGCCTTGTGGGACGGCGGCGGCGGCTGCGCCCTCCTCCTACCCCATGGATCCTCCATGAATGACGCAGCGGCAGCCTTGGGCTAGGGTTTCAAATCCGGTGAGTTCATCTCCTCTTCCTCTCCATCTCCCTCTTCCTCTCTCTCCATCTCCCTCACTCCTCCCTCTTCCTCTCTCGAGATCCGCGACAGCGACCTCTTCCTCCACGGATCCGGCGACGGACCTCCTCCCTCCCCACGGATCTGGCGGCTGGCTGCTCCTCCTCCTCCGTGGATCTGGCGGTGGAGCGACCGGATCCGGCGGTGGATCTCCACCACGGCCACGACGCCGGGATCCACCACAGCCACGACGCTGGGACCTCCACCACGGCGGGCGAGGACGCGTCGGCCTCCCTCCACCACGGCGCGGCGGGATCGGCGAGGAGGCACGGGGATCCGCGAGGAGGCGTTGGCCTGGTCCCCTGCGAGTGACTGGCGAGGTGGTGGCGGCCCTGCAGTGGCGTCGGCTTGTCCAGCCGGCTTCTCCAGAGACGCTGGGGCCCGGCCGGCGGCTCCTCTTCTCCCTCCCCGAGCGGCACGGATCTGCGGCCGTGGGAAGCCCGGATCCGTCGCCGGTGGGCTCGCCAGTGGGCTCGAGAACGGGCTCGCCGACGGGCTCCTGGTTTTTTTTGTTTTTTTAAAAATGATTAACCACAGCGGGCATCCTAACGTGCCCGCCGTGGTAAAAGTATATTTACCGCGGCGGGCACGTTACACCGCCCGCCGCGGTAAATCGATTAACTGCGGCGGGCAAGGCCGCCCGCCGCAGTTAAGCCACGATTTACCGTGGCCTCTAGGCCGCGGCGGACGGCTTTGCCCGCCGCGGAATACCGAAAACGCCCGCCTCCAGTAAAGTTTGTGTAGTAGTGCAATTCATTTCAGCCTGAGTTCTTTAACCTTTAGGCGAATGACTGCAGGAGTACAAGACGACCGTCTGGAGTACACGTTGCAAGAGATGTTGTGGCAAGGCGGTACCGAAACCAAGAAACGAAAGATTCCAGCCGGGACGGCGGAACTAGCCAAGACAGAAGAAGGCTTGGTGTATGCGGTCTCTAGGCATTCTGCCGTTCGTACATGCTTGCGTGCATGTACCCGTGTGAATGGAAAAATTCAAACGGTTTGCGCCGGAGATAGTAGCCAGGACATTCGCATGGGCGCACACTTACGAAACCCGCCTCCTCCGTCACAGCGCTCCTCCGCTCGCCCACTCCCGCAGCGTAAGCGGGGCCATCCGAGCCCTTTGTGCATCACCTGTCCGCATGCACATGGGGATGGCCCGTGCCCCGTCCGCTTCTCGTGCGCATGCACGCGGAGACCGCCGACACCTGCTCAGATCGTGCCCTCAGCCCCGCGCGCTGCTTTTGCACTCCATGCGCTCGCAGCCCGCCCTACGGATGCGTGCGGTGACTCTGAATGTTACATCCAACGATTATGCGCTTGAAACATAAAACGAAACACTTGCAACATGAAAACACTTGCTACAACATACGACAGAAACCGCTGAAATATTTGGAACATACTCTTGCATCATATGTGTGAAACATATGCAACGTTCATATCAAACGCTTGCAACATACATATAAAATAGATGAAACATTTTGAACAAATGGCTGCAACATGCCTCTGAAACACTTGCAACATATGCAACATCTGGATCTACTTTTGCAACATCCAAAATCAAACACTTGCAACATACCTTTCAAACATTTGAAACACTTAAAACATACGTTTGCAACATGCGCTTTCAGCCCAACATCTCCTTGTTGCTTGGGAGAATGGGAGCTCATCGGCATGTGGAGTTCATCGGTGTAGAGCTCGCTAGTGGCACGAAGCTCACCGCTCCAGTGGAGAAGGCCGCGGCGGATCGCTCCGGTGAAGAAGGTGGTCCGCGCATAGGAGAAACCCGCGGTGGGCGGGAGGCGCGGTGGAGAGGGAGGAAGATAGACGGTCACGGCGGGCAGGAGGCGCGATGGAGAGGGAGGAAGATGGGCGGCCACCTTTCGGTAGCACAGATCTTTGGCGGTAGGCGCTGGGACATGGTGGAGAATGTGGTGGCGGCGCTGCGATGAGTTTTTTAAGCTGCAGTGACTGGAGAGCCACCTAGAGAATCAGTTGGGGGAGAGTGGACGAGCAGAAAGGAGGAGGTCGTTGGGTGAGCATCGCGGTCCACCAATGGGAGCGTCCAGAGACGCCCTATTCAAAGCATTAGTGTTTGCACTTTGCATCTCACCAACTCAAGCGCCTATTCAAAGCATTACTGTTTGCCCTTTGCATCTCGCCAACTCAAGCCATGCGTAGGAACCAGACCCGACCGTAAGGAAATATTGAAAACCTTTAGCGTGGCCCGCAGGTGGGCCCCCGAGCCCTGGTCTCTTTGGGTCGGCGTCGGCCGGCCCAAACTTACAGATTCTGCTCTCTCTCTCTCTCTCCCTCCCAACTCTGGCAACCTTCTCCCCTGTCTCTCTCCCAATAACTCCGACAACCTTAGAAAAAAGGGGGCCCAAGGAGGTAGGCAGGCCAGGGGGTGGTGGCGGCGACCGAGCGGTTCGGGCCCCTGCTGGCAGTAGAGGCGGCCGGGCCAGGTCGGGGCAGGGGAGTCATGGCCATTCACTGTAGTTGGAGAAGAAATCGGTGGCAGGAGGTGGAGGGGAAGAGAGAGGCCGCCACGGGCGCGCTAGGGCTTGATCGAAGCACCAGGGCGGTGGGGGCGAGGCTGTAGTCGGGCGAGCAACGTAACAGCCTGAGAGTATTTCCGGTTGTGATACTTCGTTAAACGAACGGGCCCGAATATAATTTTCAGACTTGCGATTCTAGGACCACCAAGTCTGTTTTTGTACAAACGTAGTACACAGCCACTTGCATACAGTACAACAGTAGCGGATGAAATTACGATCGTATGCATAGGAGAAGAGTTAGCCAAACAGTTTAACCCTCACTCCCCATGGTCCCACCTGGCAGTGGCTACGGCGGCGTATACGCAAAGGCCTATTGGCCTTCCATGGACCGATTGACCCTGTCGGCTATTGAGATGCCGACAGTCTGCCACACGTCATTTTTTTTAATAACATCTTCTAAATTTTTAATTAATCATTAAAAATTATTATTTAAAAACAATTCGTCATTGGTCTAGCATTGCGATGCACCAGCGGGAGCATCTAGACAGACGAAGTCCTGTTCAAAGCATTAGTGTTTGCACTTTGCAACCTGCCAACTCCAGCGCTGTGCGTAGGAACCACACCGGGCCGCAAGGAAACATTGAAAACTTTAGCGTGCCCCGCATATGTGGGCCCCCTGAGCCCAGATCTCATTGGGTCGGCGTCGGCCGGCCCAAACTGACAGATTCCACGTAAGCACGTAGGAATTAGGAAACCGACGAGTGGAAGTTAGCTCTTCACACACACCGACTTGGTTCCCCCAATCAACGGAGCATATATCTACGTATCCACGAGAGACCTTGCCTCCAAAAAGCCAGGGCACATGCATGGCGTCGCCACGCACACGGCCGTCGTCGGAGCTGGTCTACAACACCATCATAGACGTGCTCCTCCGCCTCCCGCCGGAAGAGCCAGCGCACCTGGTCCGCGCCTCTCTCGTGTGCAAGCAATGGCGCCGCGTCCTCACGCACCCCGACTTCCTCCGCCTCTATGCGCGCATCCACCGAACCCCACCGCTGCTCGGCTTCTTCAACCTCTGCTCCTCCCACTCCCAGTCCCACCCCGGGCCCATCCCTTGCTTCGTCCCAGTCCCAACCACGGCAGTGGGAGCGGGCTCCCCTTCCTCCTCCTCCTCGGTGGCCGCAGCCGCCGAGGGAGCACTCGCGATCGACCACTGCCCTTGGCTGGTCCTCGACTGCCGCCATGGCCGCGTGCTCCTCCAGCGGCGATACGTGGCGGACGACGCCCGCGCCTCCCTCGTCTGGGACCCCATCACCGGCGACCGGCACGAGCTGCCCTGGCTCAAAACCGCCTCGAGGTCCTCCGCGGTGGTGCTGTGCGCCGCCGCCGCCGACGGCTGCGACCACTTGAGCTGCCGCAGTGGCCCTTTCCTCGTGCTCTGTGCTGACGTTGGCCTCCACCATACCCCGGCCGGGTGGCGCGCGCGTGCCTGCGTCTACTCGTTGCAGCTCCGCGCATGGGGCGCGCCAGTTCTCCGTGGCTTTGATCATTTCCACCAGAGCCGTGCCGTCATCATCGGAGACCAGGTCTACTTGTTCCGGTTGTTCTTGGGTGACCAGATCCTGAAATATGACCTGCACAGGCACTGCTTGTATGCGATTGACTCGCCGGGCTTCTATAATCTATAGCAAGGATACCGACGTCGAGCTCATGACAAACGAGGACGGGTTGCTTGGGCTCGCCGGCGCTAGGCATTCTACACTTCACCTGTGGTCGAGAACGGCGAATAATGCAGGGTGGGAGCAGTCCAGGGTCATATATCTACGGACGATAATGATATCATCACCTTCTGGCGCTGGCAATGACGACAATAGTAGTATCATCAATGGTGCAAATGTGATTCGTTTTGCTGAGGGTGTGAATGCCATCTTCGTGGGCACAAATGCTGGCACCTTCGTTATCGGTCTCAAGTCAGAGCGCGCAAGGATGGTATGAAAAGCTGAGATCTTGTCTGTAAACCTTCCTCCGAATATATATGCATGACCTGTATCTATATATGTTCTTGCTTTCAGATTGTAATAACAATATCAAATTGTAATTGCCAGTGGAGATACCTCATTCCTTTAGTTGTTCTGAACTTCTGATATGGGAATATATGGTAGTTTTGATTTGAAAACTAAATATCTGACTATGCAATATCATATTAATCTAGTTTCCTTGGTCATGGTTGACTTGTTTCTTAAGGACAATTATTCTTTGTGTATTCGTAAGATGCTTCTCTGAAGGAGATGATTTCTTTCTTTATTGACTACAAATTGTTGGTTTAATATTTTTACATTATTTTCCCCTCTTTGTAATTGTTAATTAGTATATATAAATGACTTTAACTTGTATATGTGATTGATACTATACAGATTGTGGATGTCGCAATTCGCCATTGCCAGCAGAGAGATTGCATGGCTGAATCTGATAAGCTATGACGAGCCCATTTACAGATCGGCTAAGCTGAATCTACCGACGTTGGAACATTTGCGAGGCTTATGCTTTTAAATGTTTATTAGCATTTTGTTGGGAAGTTTAATTTCTTGTAGCATTAGCCATCATCGCTAGTTACGGACCTTATGTTATCCCTCCCTAGTTTTATAATCATGGCTATGAGAACTATGTCTGAGGTTTAGAGTTAAAACTTACTTGGTTAGTGTTATACTAATGATTGACAAGTCGACTCGGTAGTCGGACAAGAATGTGTATTCTGGTTCTTTTGGCAGAAACTTGATTTTGATTGCTTTAGCTTCGGCTTGACTTCCAGAACGAGGATAGTTGTTTTAGCCTTTTCACAAAAGAAAAAGTCTATTTAACCTCCCGAAATATTGTTGTAGTTTCATTTTGCTCCTCAAATTCTAAAACCAGACATCTTAACCCACACCCCACCCCACCCCCAAACTCTAAAAATCATTCATATTTCTTCCCTATCCTGGTTTGGAGTGGTTTTACCTTTTTTTGTTAAAAAAACAATAAGGTTTTTAAACAACATAAAATGTCTCAAACATTCTAAAAAATATGACAAAAATCATAGATATGGATTGGGATATGAAGATTCCAAGTAAAATATTTAAAGCTCGTGAAAATATATCTAGAAGCTTCAAAAAATTAGACTTAGCTCTCGAAAAATGAGAAAAATATCTATAAAATCTAGAAAAAATCTAAAACATTCTATCAATGTCTAAACATGTTTGAAAACTTCGCACTATAAAAATATAAGATGCACACAACATAAAATGCAATATACATTAATGTTGAATGCATTTGTTCTATGCGTTCTTGCTGGTCGTCTATTATGTTTTTTGTGGTGCAAAGTTTTCAAAACATGTTTAGACATCAATTAGGATGTTTGGTGAATTTTTAGATTTTTTTTTCATTTTCCTAGAGCTAAGTCGAATTTTTGGAAGCTTCTAAATATATTTTCCTAAGCTCTTTATATTTTACTTGGATTCGTCGTATTCCAATCTATCTCTAGGATTTTTTTTCAAAAACTTTTTAGAATCTTGTGTAAATTTGATAGCATTGTCAAGTATTTGGTAGATTTTTTTAAAACTAAGAACAAAGACAAAACTACCTTCAAAACCACTTCAAAACAGGGATGGACATAATTTGATTGGTTTTTGGAGGTTCAGGGTAAGATGTCTGATTTTAGAGTTTGAGGACGAAGACAAACTATAATGATGTCGCCGAGAAGATCCCCTCCGCATCCCGCCTGATGAGGCCACGTACCTCGTCCATGCCTCCCTCTTGTGTAAGCTTTGGATGTACTGCTACGTACTACGCCTTCCACCGAGGTGCTCTTCTACTTGGCCTTCTTCTACAATATCAATCCCTCGGAATGTACCCCACTTCCTCCCTACCAGCACCACGACAACCTCTCCCTTCCCCCATGGCCACCTGGTGAGCAAGAAGCACCTTTGGTGGGCCTTCGCCTGCGTGGACTGCTGTGACGGCCGCGTGCTGTTCAGTAGTAAGATGGTCTACAATGAGTTCGTTGTGTGCGATCCGACCGCTTTTTGTTGGAGATCAGAGTGGTAGGAGCCACATATGCTCGATATTCTTGCACGTTCCACTATGCTATCATGCTCTGCATCGTGCCTGGCTGTTATCACTGTGACTATTCTGGTGGTCTTCTTGTGATCTAGTCCTCCGATGACAGTAAATACACATGCACAAAAAAATATTCAGTGCAAATCCTCTGCTCGGCGGAATCGTAAAAACCCTTTAGAAATGGGAAAATATTCAGTGCAAATCCTTTACTCAAATTTTGCTACAATGTACATCTATATATGCACTATGGATATGCATTTTTCAAATGTTTTAAAAGTCAAGTATGTTTTCCTAAAAGGTTTTAGTGAAATTTTACAGCGCTTGGAAATAATGGGAGCCCTCCATTTCGTTTGATCTGACGGTTTAAAAATGGGAGGAACCAAATAGAAGGAACTTAAGTTGTGGGCCGGAACCAAAATATACGTGGACCCGGAACTGATTTCTAATTAAATTTGGAGGGTATAAAAGTATTTACGTCTCTCGAAAGGTAAATTATCTGAACACAGAGTAGTCCTCCGTGAATATAAAAGCTACAGCTGAATTTCTTATTAGCAACAGTTGGGAAATCAAAATTGGCAAGCAACCAACGGAAGTTACCCAACGTGAATGCCCTGCAGCAGTGTCGAGCTTCAGCGTATGAAGACGAGCCCCTGCAGGCGCACCCCTTACTCCTCCAAGTGCCGTGACAAGTCCCAAAGGGCTCTTGACGCCACTCCTCCCTCGCCCCTCCGCCGCTGCACCGATTCGGAGCAGCACCGAGAGCCCCAAAGCCGTGTTGGGCGGCCATTGGAAGATGGTGACCCCCGGAGAGACAGGCGACGCTCCTCCCTTGTCCCCTCCGCCGCAGCCACCAATTTGGAGCAGACCGGAATCCCCAGCGCCGTGATGAGTGGCCGAATTAGGTGGGCGAGCTCTTGTAGGAGGCTGTGTGAAGACGACGACCACAGGGAGTCAGGCAGCGGTGATTTCCGGGGAGAGGCGGCAGCAAATTCCGGGGAGGCGTGCCACAACGATTTCTAGGAGGAGAGCGAGCGGCCTTCGACTAGCATGGCGACGGCGCTGGTACCGGCTCTGCTGGTAGACGACCTCGTCGAGATGATCCTCCTCTGCTTCCCTCCGGACGACCCCGCGAGCCTCGTCCGTGCCGCACTCGTCGGCAAGGGCTGGCGCCGCCTCGTCTCCAGCCCTGGATTCTGGCACAGGTTCCGCGAGTTCCACCGCACGCCGCTCATGCTTGGTTTCCTCTGCTCCCAGGGCCACTTCGAATCCACCACCTCCTTCCGTCCGCGCCACGTGGGCAACGGCAGCGGCGTCCAGATCCAGAGAGCGCTCGACGCCCGCCACTGCTGCGTCCTCCTCAATGGCTACTCGCCTAGATCAACGCGGCGCGACAGCGACCTCGTCGTGCGGGATCCCGTCAGGGGTGCCCTCCAAACGCTGTCGCCACTCCGCCACTGGTGCTGTGATGGCTGGACCACGGCGGTGGTCTGCGTGTCCGCCGGGTGTGACCACCTCGACTGTGCCCCCCGCGGACCTTTCCGTGTTGTCTTCGTGGGCACGGACTGGGTGTTGCGGTTCGTCACCTCTGTATGGTTCTACTCATCTGAGGTTGGTGCATGGAGTGAGCTCCGTGAGGTCACCTTTGTTCCGCCACCCATGTCCTCGCACTGTATCAACATGGGGCCAAGTGCCCTGGTGCAGAATGTACTATATTTTCGATGTGCCAACGGAATCCTGGAGCACGATTTGGGCACACAAGTGTCTGAGGTTACACGACCACCTGCACTCTTCATGCCGGATCACGGTGCTGTGCTCATGACTACAGAAGATGGTGACCTGGGATTGGCTGTCATTCAGCAGTCCAAACTCGTCCTATGGTCAAGGGAGACTTGTCTTGAAAGTGGGAAGGAGAACACTAGTGGCCCGCTCCCTGGAAATAATCCAGGCTGGTTTCGTATTCTAATTTGAATAGGCTTCGTCAATTGGAATTTTTCCTGGCTTGGTTTTAGCTTAACCGAAGGTGCCCTAGATGGGCAGAGAACAGAGTCATTGAGCTCGGGGCTTTGCTCCCTGTTAATACCTTCTTGTATTCGGCTCGTTTGGTTGGCTTTGCAGATGGTATTGCGGTTATTCTAGTGGAGATTGCAGGTCGACTCTTCACTATTGATCTTAAGTCAAGGCGTGTTGAGGAGATAGGAAAGGGTCTGTACCTCGATGCCTATCATGTTGTCGATGGCTATCATGTTGTCCCCTTTGTGAGCTTGTGCACTCCAGGTATGAACTGAATGTTTCAGAACGAAAATATCTCAGTTAATTACAAGAAATTTTTTACAATGATGTATGTCCTAAAGAAACTAGACTAATAACTTTATAAAAGTAGAAATATCTTTAAAACTGGGTTACTGCTTCCTTTTGCATTTTCCTTGCACCGTCCTTCAAATTGGCTACAACCATGTACTATGTGTGTTGATAGTTTTCGGCTGATTATTGGGTCCTCAATTAGTCAATCTTGACAATTGACTTAGGTTTAGAATGAGCTAGGAAGGTATCCCAGCAGGAGACCCTATCCTCTTAAGGCCCTGTTCGGTTACGTTGG